CTTCCTGGCATGTGACTACTCCTAAGCAGTAATGTGTGCACACAAACGAATCAGAGATCGAACCCAGGGCCTTCAATTTTCACAGAGAGAAGTTCAGCCGTCAAACTAGTGAGTTGTTTAATTCACAACTTTGAATGTGTACATATAAATGCATTCATTTATAACAAAAAAAATAAAATAAAACAATACCAATAGCATTAATGATATAATTACAACAATAATATCGATATTATCAAACGGGATAACAACTATGAAGATGTAGAAGACTTTCATTGTTTATTTTTCTTCTTCCCTTTCTCTATCTGCATATTTTTAAATTTACTTTCAGGGTTAAAATTAACAGATCATAAATCAAAAACCAAAAATTCTTTACAAGACATAAATACCAAGTAAATTAAATCGAAGTTTATTTATAGGATCATTGAACATTTAAAACAGAAAAAACGCTATTAAATACTGAGAGAGAGGGGAGTGAGAGGACAAGAAAAACAACAAGAGTTAACCACAGGATGAATTATGAGACAATTTAAGCAATACCACTAAGTGAAATAGTAAATTAATTCATTATTTAATAACAATCAATAAACGACACATAGTTTAGACAAAGAAAAATCACACAAAAAGGAAGTACAAATAATTATATATGTATTATTATTATATTATGTAGTAAATTATAAAAGTATTTATGTACTTTTCCAAGGACTTGGAAAACCAATCTTTCAATACAACTAAGAGGAATTATCAGTAAAATATTATTCTGTGAAAAATTGCTATGTGATCATATCATTTACTATGTATGAGTCTATGTATTCGACGTTGAGCTACTGTTTGTGTGACAGCCATTGATACTACCTAGTTGCCCAAATCGAAGGAAGTCGAGCAGGGTTTTAATTCAAAGCCCAACGGCTGAAACCCAAATGTTCTAGATGCTTTGGAGCATATAATGATTTTAATGACGAAGTGCAACTATATCTTGATGACCGTAACGTTTGGTCGGCAATGGGTTAGGAACCCGTCATATCTATTACAGTTTGGATCACATGATAGAATCGTCAAAAAGGTTTTGTACTTAGCTGGTAATTTCCATTAACAATCTTACCATTAAAAAAGAATGAATTACTTAGAACAGGGTGAAATCGAATAACTTAATGCTTGATATGTACTTTATCGGAATTATTTCCCTTTAGGGAGGTAGTTTGTATTAGGTTGATATCATATGGAAAAACAATGAAAATTAAGCAGTATTGGACATTGGTTCGTTTTAATTTAGAATTTTTTCAGAATCTTTTGTCATCATGAGAGCTGAAGACGTAGACGTTTTAGCTTTTTTAATAAGATTGAGGTATGCATTGCTGAAAAAACTAATAACTAAAATGAAACTATTATTCAGAGCGTCCTATTTTTGACTTGTTCACCAGTCAACAAAAACAAACTATTTTTTATTCAAAACAATGTTTTTACAGAATAGGAGCTCTGAATATTTTTCTATTCATTTAAAGGATGAGTGTTGCATACAAGAGAATAATTTAGATTGGAAATTTCATTTGAATCCTCAACTTTCATTTGATTTACTTTTTTCATCCGTTAATTTGGGATGCGCTACAGTGGTGTGTTCATAAAAGATAAATGTGAATAGTTTCAAATAACAGAAAATGAAATCTCCAGTGTAAATTATACTCTTGTATGACACTAAAAAAACGGGAAGATGTTCAAAAACGCTAGACATTACGCTTTCATTGAACGTTGAAGTGGGATGGTTATACCTACACCTTACAAAATAATTAAGTTCAATTACTATACATATATGCAGGATGAAGTTTTGTGGTCCGCTAATCTGACTCATCGATCGATGAACGTATATGCTATAAACATAAATCTCCCATTTAACTCCGTATATTACCTAGACTAACTTCGTTCACGTGATTGTGGTAATAAGAAGTTAAATACGGATAGCGTTGGATAAATTTACTAAAAACACTCGTTTATCCAAACAGACATTTAGAACGATAAGCGGGAGAACGAAGCGATGTGCAGAAGGCATGTGTGCTAACTCGATCTGACCAAAAGTGATTAGATATTTTAGCCAGACAAAAATAAGCTACAGACATGTGATGGGTAGGATAAGCAATGCACAAACATGTCTTCTATAAAAATTCAAGGTTAACAAGCGAATGATTGACAAGATCAAAATGTGGATCAAGAAAAATGAATAAATCGGCCTGTCCGGAAAGTAAAATGACGCATGTGGGCTTGACATGAAATAGACACTACAGCAGAAAAAAAGGAAGATGACATATCCTATCTTTTATCGGATGCCATACCGACATAAACATATACACAATTTAAACCGTCACCTATATAAAGACTGATTTATGATATGCATTCAATGTCAAATGAACAAGCGATGTATTTCATTATGGTGATTAAAAATATTTGAAATAATTTCCATGTATGGCAAACACCATGTGTAGTACTAACGAAATAAAGTGCTTTTTGTCTAATTTGCATTCACCCTATCCCTTCAAATGAGGTAAAACTTGGGATCCATAGCATATTGTATTAAGTATGAGAGTTCAGCTGTTCAGTTGAAATTTGTAAGAATCGAACAAATAACTTCTGAAAAGCTGAAACAGACAATTGTCATTCAGTCACAGATACATGGCAAATCTAACAAAAATAAATTCAAAGATATAAAAATAAGCATAGTTCAACGGTGGATTTTTTCGCTAAAGATGTAAGTGATTATTTTATTGTGAGAGTTGATTGGTTTCATCAGTGCTCAAAAAACAGAGATGAATGATGTTATCATTACAGGTGATTTATTATTAGGATAATTAAATAAGTTATTCTTAATTTAGACGAAAAAGTAAAAGAAAGTCAAATGAAGACAATGAGTTAGAATAAGAAATAGAAAGAAAACTTTGCTAAACCTCCTAGACTTGAGAGGGAGTTCAAGCACTGCAGCTTTAACTATGAAATCTCAATACATCGAGGTATAATAATACAAATGTGTCACTTATCAGCTAGATGATTAAAAGAAAAGAGGCTTTGTGAAACTATATTTCACCAGTGTAACTACACCTGAGCAGACACAAAATATTTCACTTTGAAAAATAATAATCTACGTCAAGTGGATTTTTAGGAAAAGGATTTATATATTGAAGAATATTTAATTACTACAAGTGAACTGAATAATGTAGGCGTTAGTCAAGAAAAATAAAGCACAAGTTGACATCAAATTCACGAAGGAATATGAACGTGATAATCAACACCTAAATTACAATAGTTTTCTCCTGTTAGTTACAAATATTCAGTCAAAACCCTATTTAGTAGGGCTCGAATGTCATGTTCAACAAACAATACACAGGAAGAATTGGCATAGTACATGTGCCTTAAACATGTATGTTCAAAGAAATTTATTATGAAGTACGGAAAAACGATAACGTAAATTCCACAACAAACAACTACTAACAGAAAACCTTCCTTCATTCGTCTTGGATTCAAAGGTGAGGAGGTTTCAGGCATGATTGATAAAAGGGTCAAGACAGCGCAAAAGATAAGCTTCCTGGAGCCCAACTAATTATGGTGTATTGCATCAAATTTTCCTTAAATCAATCAAAAGTGAATCAATACCATTCTGAAGTCAACTCTAAATGTATTTATGTACAAGTACATAGGAAGGATTGAGAGAAAGACATCTACAAAGTGTTCGGAACATATTTCCAGTATGTTGTGTCTAAAAGGAAGTGAACTCTTCACAGGTGCGACCAATAAACATCTAATGGATAGTAAGCACAACGTGGATGTCTAAAAAGGATTCAAAAGAATTAACAGACAACGCACATCAATTTTACTCCGTCTCACAGAGGTCACTGTCATCAAGTGCTTTCCACCTGACCTTTGCATACAGAAAAAAAGTGGTAGACCTACCATTGCCAAGATAGTTAAATTATTTTAAAGATTGTCAGATTCACTATTTCTTCATTATGGTTTATAACATGAAGCAAAAAATATCTGACTAATATTCACACAAGACGTTAACATTTATGTTATGCTACATAGGTGTCTTGATTATTGGTCATTCGGCAGCAATCTGTTCATATTCATTGTCACTTTATTACCATTTATAACTTCATCAGGCCTTTTTATGATTTCATTCTCAACATATAGATACAAATGGATCGTGACTATTATGTTAAATATGTTGTTTCTTCTTGTTTCTCAAGTTATTTAGAACCAAACTTAATTGATTATGGTATGTAATAAAACATATTTATGATACCACTAATGTAAATATAAGCCGTTCGTAGGTGATGAGCAGTCTTAAAACGAATTCATTTTATTCTGTAAATATTATACTTCTAGCTTGATTTTAGAATAAATCAGTTTACTTTTAGGAAAAAAACACAAAACATAGTTGTAAGTCTAAAGATGAGTGTTGCTAGATCTCACTAATCGAGTATAGATCCATGCACTCGAACTTTGAAATACAAATGTTACACAACGGGATTACATACAAGATTAGGTTGTTAATGTTTCAAAAATCTGATACGCATTATTTCCCGATTAAGTGATCAACGTAGTTGTAGGATTAATCAACCCATTTATAATCCTAGTATCAAATGGCTTTACGAAAATACTAGAATACAACCCTTATTTCACTTACATCTATACAAAAAATAATTCGGATTGATGTAATACTTATCTATCACATTAAATTAAATAATAAATATGAATCTGAAACATTTACTGGATGGATCAATATTATTTTCAATGAACGAATAAGATAAATCAAAGTACGCTAATTATTCGAATCATAGACGTACAGAATTTGTTTCCGAACTGCAAGACAACTGTAGGAGTCGAGAGATATTGTATGTATTTATCAATAATAATCTTAAAATATCCGTTATCAAGAAAGGTTCTTGCAGAAGAAGTGAATAGAAAATACACATTGAGACAAAAACAACTAATATTATATATATAATGGGTAATCTTACCCTACTACGTCGTGAAAAAATTCTCCGCAGAAACCCTGCACCATTTATAGGCATAGAAGGATTGCGTAGATTTGACGCACTATAATTATCACTAACACTTGGACGACGGCTACAGTTACTACCAACGCCGACTCCACCATTGTGTGAACCATTAGTTGATGTTGAAGCATAAGATGCAGAGTATATAGAACCAGATTCACCATAGATTGAGTCTCCAATGGAAGTGGAAGATGATGGTACATAATTATTATTGCCATTATTATTGTTACCACCACATTGTTTACTCGATTCCAATGCTGCATTATCTGCTGCCCATACGGAACAGTGAAAATTCGATGGAAGAACAACACTACCCGATGAATAAATTGGTTCACTTGAATTAGTTCTTTGTGGTTTTGCATATGTTGATTGTTTAACGGTTGATGGTATAGTACTATTATTCACTGCAGATGAATATAGATCCACAAAAGCAATATCCCCAGGCGGTGGATTATTGCTTTGTAAATATTCTATAATTTCTTTAGAATCCTAGTTTGCATTAAAAATAAAATTAAGTACACGACCAAACTTTAAGATACAAATATTAATATTATTACTATCACTAATACTGTTATTATTGTTAATATTATTGTTGTGAACGTGGTGAGCGTTCATCAATTCGACTTTGTGTTAGACAACTACAAAAAACAAAGAGCAGAAAAATAACTAAATTAACCAGACAAAAAAGAATCCGATCATAAGTGATCTGAATGTCAGAAGATTCAAATCTCCTAGTGTTCTTCCGCCGCTAGACAACTGCAATTTATGCTTAAAGACCTTATGTGATGTTGGTCTAAAATCGATTGCAGAGGTGTAAATACATTTATTTTCTAGCTTCCCGCAAATCTTGAACTTAGTATTACACCATATATAATTGATTCTGTCTAGTCATGGGACTTCCCAAGCTTGTAATTTAAGTTGTGTGTGTGAGCAGCCAAAAAGAATGTGTGGATTGCCCAAACAATCAAAAGTCAAATGCCCATTAATTTTTTATTTGGTTTTGTAAATGCATATGATCCATAAGTGCTACTTTTATCAGTCAACTTTACTTTTTTGCTATCCTGTAAGGGAATCATAGTACCCGAATGCAGAGTGAAACTGATATTAATCACCGGACATCAAACGGTGGAGCTGAAAATAACCGAGAGGAACAACTATCCATCTTCAAATTTCTCGACTGATAACAAATCATCACTCGGAAAACAATAAAAACACAGGAACACTATATTGTACGAATACTCGGAGAAATTCATCTTACTTCACTGTTTTCAGATAAATGTACCTTCAAGAAAGGAAAATCTTTATCTTAAAGGGATAACAGGACTCAATAGCTCAATGGATTCTGCGTTGAAATCTGAAGCGAAAGGCAACAAATCATACATTCGAAAAAACTTGTTACAAAAATGGCCATATCGAAGCAATCCTGTCAGGATGGATACTTACTTGATCTGAATTAAGATGTGTACACACTGATTTGAATTCATCGCATACATTGTTCATAAGATCAATTGCCACTCGTAACCGTTCATATAATATATTGATTAAAGATTGGGTACGTGCATATCTTTCAACTTCTAAACTTTTGCCAACTTGTGCCCATGATGGTAAACAACGAAAGTAATAATCTTGACGGTATAAGTTAAATTGGTTCAAAGCAGCAGAATAATCTTTTCGTGCTCTCTCAAAATCAATCTCTTTCAACCGTGCATAATTTAAAGCCTACACACATAAATAAAAACAAGGTATGAAAAATTGAATTTACTCAGTAAACCACTGTAATACAAGCCTAAAAAACTGGAATTAACAGTGAAAAAATGACTGCAGTTTATGCAAACAAATAAACAATTTGGATTATTGTTGAGACTTTGGAATAATTCATTTGTCTCATTCTGTATCTATTTTAGGCTTTGCTTTTTTTAGTTCAGACAATGCAATTAGGTCCAACATACTTTAAAATGTGGATTGAAGAAATTACTGGCCAAAATAAAACAGCATTAGTATTGACCTCTAATTATAGACACTGATAATTTAAAACACATTCTTAAAGTTTACCTTGAAAAGATTTCAGCGAAAAGTATTAATCTATGAAGCTAAATACCACAATTAAGTAGTAGTATTAATGATCGTAAAATTTTTACCACATGTAATATAATCATAATGACTGGTAGATCTTATAATTAAACTCCGACATAATTTAAGGGAGAAACTTACTATGCAACAGACGTAGTGATTTATGCGGTAATTTGCCTAATTTGAAAATATGTATTATCATCAACCGATATCAACTAGGTAAGTAATATAAACCACACAGAGTACTGAACAGCTACACATTTTATAGTGGTGCGTACCATTGATGAACCCTTAACTAAGACGAATATCAACTTATGGTGCAAATTATCTTAACAAAGGCTGATTAGTAAATCAATCATAATCAACACATCCTGATACAAATGTGCACAATCCCTGATTGTCATATCACATAAGCACAGAAAAATGAAATTAATAATAATAATAATAAAATAGTCCAGTATCAATGATCTTGAAAACAGATTTTCAAAAAATATGGATTTCAGGAATAAAAAGTAAAAAAATAACATTGCAATCCAAAACTTAGGCGAAGATGGAGAGTGAATGCAGTGGTGTCATTGTGAACGATTCCAAGTAGTGTTACCTAATACCTCTATCCACTGATTGACGTTATCAAGCAAATTTGCAGGTAACTTATGTTGTTTTTAAGATAAAGTATATGAGTTGAATCATAGCTAGATTGTTTTGCATTAAATTTTTAACCACTAGACTACAGATTTGTACCAGATTCTACTAATTCTTTATTTTCATTTATTTATGTTTATTGATTGATCATAAGGTTTTCTCTCTTCCATTTCGCAATATTGTGATTTTAATTTGTGTGACATAGTGTTGAAGAACTGAACACCGTTTTTTGAATTCTGGATAGATGGATAGTATCACTAAGTTCGCACATATAACGTGTAAACAAGAGCTGAGTACATGAATCCATGTACTTAGTAGCTAAATTACATTTTTGCTATTATGAATTTTTTTTCTATGGACATTGGTTATGAAACCGATAACACAATGTTTGTACCGTAAACGCCCGATCATGTAAGCGTCGGTCCCCTAACTACTAACCAGGACATCAGAAAAATAGACTGATGTGCCGAAGTACCTTTTATGAAACTTAGAAAAACACGTGATCAAGCAAACCAGACAGAAGAAAGCGATGCACCAATTTAAGAAATCTCAGACTGAACAAAATAAAGTCATTTGCGGTGCAATCCAGATGAACAGGTTGATATTTAATTAATTGTAATTTACGAGCGGTAAGAAATATATCAACAGTTAAGGAATTAAATGAAAGCTTAATGTTAGGATAAGCCAAAAAATACCGTAAACCGATCATTTAATACATACGACATATACATAAAGTCATTACTCGGAGAATCGCTTTCAACATTTCGAGTTTCTTATTGTATTCCTTCATTTTTAACGTTTTATTCTCATAATACCTGCACAGAAGACAGATCTATGCATCAAACATTATATCACTTTCCATTCTTTTCAATAATAAAACTTTTCAACAGGCAGCATAGTAAATGTTAGTAGAAAATGACAATAACTACTAACATATTCTTTGGACTCTTGAGATTAAATAGAATTTCAGGAAAAGTTTGTGGATATTTTCCTGTTAAATTAATGAGAAATTAAATTATAGAAGCACGATAATTAGTTTTGTTAAAAATGTGAAAAATTTCATAAACATATTATTTGGTGGTTTGACAAGATTATGTAGATGTAAGATTATTATTATTATTATTAATACTCAGTTTATTAAGCAACTTGTACTTCATTGAATCTTGTTGATAATTTGACAAATCAGAGTAGTTGTTAAGAATATGATAGGTGGCTAATCAGTTTCCAAAATTCAATTGCCTTAAAACAATGTAGAAACATAGTGATCTAGTAAAAATCATGGAATATAAAAACATGTGTTCAAGAAGCTGATATACCGATTGAGACTGGTTATTTCGGCCTTAAATATTAACAATGGAAAAGTGTAAGTCCTTAAAAATAATAAAATCTGGAAGCGATCATTATAGTCCAAGCAGGTAATCTTTAAGCAAAACATCAGAACTATACAGTGGCGATGATAAAAAGATTAGATAAACATTAAACAGGTACAGAACAATTGAATAAATAGTTTTGAAACAATCATCATTCTGCAGTCTGTTTTTCCCTGACTCTATTTCAATCAAGACTAAGAATGGAGAGACAAATAACTTGCAACCAATTGAAGTAACCCTGTCAAAAATCTCATCAACGTGATAACTTTTTGCCTAGGAGTTTACGTATGGATCAACAGTGGTACATAACATGTTTCAATATAAGTACGAATGATTTGATTACTTGTGAGTATTGGAATTCAAGCAAAAACTTAATATTTACAGATAACTAGTTTGTGAATGAGGCTCGTACTGATACTGACACTGATGAACAATGACCTTAAAACTGTGAAATCTACGAAGAAATCTAATTAAAAAGGTAAAACTAATTTTATTGATATTGTACAAAATCATGTTGTTGCATCAATAAAGTCGAATAATATTGAATAATGGTACCTAACTAAAGTCATGTAAACAGAATTCAAGCAAATGAATTAATCAAACATTAGCACCATGAATAATCTCGCATAACCACTATCCTTTGCTTTGCCAATTATTCATCAAAACGAATAGCTGACTAATCATCTTGACGAAAGCAGGTATACTAGTTTTACAACATCCACAGACGTATACATACATGTATTTATGAATCATTAAAATGTTAATGGTATAATTACGGTAGCTAGCAACCACCACAAAAGGTAACAAAAATAAATAAAGATTCATGATTTTAGATTAGTCATAGGAATTATGGTATTGATCATAATTATTCGTGTATACATATTCATATTGATGTGTGCTTTTACGATTATGTAATACACCAATGGCAATATGTATACAGCATCAAACCAACAAGATGAAAGAGAATATAAGTCAGTGTTCTTCATGAATTCGATATTCACTGAAAACCAATAGGTATGGGATAATTATAGACTCGCGCATAATTGGAACACCCATTTATCAACACAAACAATAATAATAATAACCATTACTACTACCAATAGAAATGATAGTAATCATACATTCAGTTGACCTTATACAATGTTTTGTATTTTCACGCCATAATTGCTCCACCATACATATAATCACACCCATATTTTCCAATGATTAATAAATGTGGACAATGTAAATAAGAAAAGGGAAAATTGATAATGAATAATTCACTCGAGTTTATTACTATCAAGAAAGATTTGCATTGAGGTATCATACATACATACATATACGTTATTAACCAGGGTACCGATCCAAAGAGTTTAAATTCATTTCTGTGAGGTTCATTTGGTCAATATCATTATTTCATAAGTTTTAATTTGGTTACCGAAATGTATTTCATTTTACAATCTATATAGAAGTTTTTTTGCATTTAAATGGATTATTTATGGATTAGTCCTATGAGGTCAATTGTGCATAGGTACATTTTTACATTATTTATGGGACAAAGGTATAAAAGAATTTGTCTCAATAAATTATCGTTGTGCTCAAGCCGCTACACAACATGCAAAAGCTACGGCTCATCTATGGCTAGAAATTTTCGCAGTATGAAAGTGGTTTAGATCAGTCACTATACTTCACTTACGATATTTATTTATTAAGTTTGAAGGACTTTATATTTTGATTTCCAATTATAGAACACAATTTACTTCGTCAGTCTAACGATCACATCGTCCAGTTAAAAACTTTCCAGTCATCTCGTACAAATAATTTAGATGTACTGAATCCTAAGGACAAGTTGAAAGGGACATCTGAGTTGGTGGAAAAGTGATGGAAAAACCCAAGAGGTTAGACAGTAGATAATTTAGTACATCTCCGTAGTTTGTAGTGTTGGTTGCTATGTTAAGCACACATAGCTTATTCTGGCTCCCAGACAAGCCGATTTATTCATTCTTCTTAAATCACATTTGGCCTTGTTAATTAATCGCTTATCAACCTTGACTGTTTTTATATGAGCGTATGTGTGTACATTTCTTATCTTATTCATCACATGTCTGTAACTTATTTTCGTGTGACCATAAATATCGACTAACGTTTAATCAAATTGAGTTGGCTTACATGCCTTCTCCACCGCGCGTCATTTCGCTTCGCTTCTCCGATCGTTTGCCTGGACCAACGATTGTATGAAATATATATAATCGAAATCCATTCTCGTATTTGATTTATTTAATTCCGTTATCCACTAACGTGATTTAAGTCGATGATTATATACGAGGATTGGCGACATGTATATTTCGATGACAACCATTCATACGATCTAAGTGTAGTTAGATATAGGGCCACTAAAAGTTTATACTATTAAAAACCTAAATGGACTCCTGAATTTATAACAAATACACACAGCAATGTAATAATATAGTCAGTTAAATGTAATGTAGAACCAGGCACACGTGTACATCAGTTTAAGTTGCCGTACCTCATTAGCACAACGAGATGAAATTGTTAGAACGAATCCCAGGAAAGTAGAGGTAATAACAGGATTAATAGTACTAGAAAAGACTATACATCAAGGGTGAAACTTGAGAAAATGTAAGTTAGTGAAATATTAGAAAAGGAATCATAAGGAATTTAAAAACTTAGGATCTAAGGTAAGGCAAAGAAAGTAAATGCTCCTGAGCTATTCCGAAAGATTTTGAGCCATGTCATTTAAAGTCTCTAACCATTAGTTACAATGATTACGCGGACTATAAAGTTAGTTTGTATTTAACTACATGGCTTAGTCCGACAGTGAGCGATGATTGGAACTAAGTCAATTGTTAAACATATAAATTAACACTGTGAAAAGAACAATCATAGCAAGTCCGTTATTACCAGACAACTTCATATAGAAATAATCTGAGACATTTAACAGACCCTACTACCTGTTAGGGAGATCCAGTAAACTCCTCGAAAAAAGCCACGAAAGGCTCTGAAAACACTGAAAAACATCTTATCCAATCAGCGTTCACTAGAAGTTTTGCCAGAAACATCAAGAAAGTTAAAAGTCACATGTCGAGTTTCTGATTGGATGATTGCCGTACTGCTACTATGTTTAGTAGCATTCCAGAATTTTCGGGAAACCCAAGGACATCTAAAACACTATAAAAACCCTCTATTTTCTGTACAAAACGAACCTTTGGAATAGTGTTCCTTACACACTTCGCGACTTTTCTCTCATGTCCAAGTCTCTGTGTAGTTTTAGTCTGGGGGTTACTAGAAGAGCTTAGGGAATTAACCTAGCATTCAATTAGCAAGACTTATCACTACCACCGTAGATTTCGTCAAGCCAGAAGCTGTCTAGAGCACGTAATTGTATGAATATATTACAGACTAACACATATGCAGAACCTTATGTATAGGATTTTCAAGGTTAGGCGGCGTAACGTAGGCTTGGTGAGGCAATACATTTTATTAGCTTATTATCATTTCATTGACCTTAAATAAAATATTTGGTTGCTACTTATTTATGAAGTATGTACAAAAACGGTTCATTGTGTTATCCATACAATCTTCATTTAAAATCTATGATCCCTTCAATGAATCATTCACATAATGCTCTTGATTATTCAGTTGGACAAATGTAGACTATGGTTACATGAGTGTATCAAACTCAAGTACATTCAATGAACAGCTTTCATACAGTCGTATAGATTTACCCCTAACCTCATTGGGAATGCAACAAAATTTCAACTGCATTTCACTTAGCCTTTCGAAAAAAATATGAGTGGATACAAACCAGTCAACAATGTTTATTAGGTATCTCAAAAATGTATAAGCTCTGGACAACTTTATCAACAGGTAAACAAATTTAGTTTGGCGGATCTAAAAATAAACTATTCACTGACCAAAACAATGTTAGCAGTTGTGCAATAAATCATTAATTCAAGTCGTCACAAAAAAATGAGGACATAAACAAATTGGAAATATAGTCTCCAATACATTTTATTAAGTTCAAAAGTAGTGCTCTTGAAGTATATCACTTAGAGTTCACAGCAGCGAAGTCTAACTACTTCGTATAAGTCAATTAATCCATTTGTAGAAAAGGGATAGCCAGTATTTTAGATATGTCAATTTCTATCATATAGAAAGCGAAGCATAACTGCCTACAAAATATTTTCTATTTGTAGCAGTTAAGACACAAACACAAACATAATCTTATTAACATCATTTACATCATTTTTTTGAAAACCCTGTGCTCAAAGTAGGAAATAGGCGAATTCAACTCAAATATAAACCTTTAAAACAATAAAAATTAATAAGTTCATTACTAACCTTTTCGACATCAAATTGTGAATGACTCTGATCAGCGTTGATGCGTTCATAGTCTTCTTTAGCCTTGATCATATCACGATATTTATCTCGATATCGTTTAATTTCATCATCGATAATACGTGTTTGAGATTTTAGTTCATTCGATAATTTTGATCTATAAGAAACGCATAATTATTATGAATACTATTGTTTTCTGAGTGCTTTGTGGTGGTTAGATCATGTCTCAGGCCAACACTGTCTTGCGAGTTTTATTTATTTATTTGAACACATAAATATTGGTACAAAGAGGCACCAAATACATATGCGCCACACAAAATTTCATTTAATTTGAGTGAGGGCCGTAATACTGTCCGGGTGTCCAGACCGAAGCAAGTGGTTTTCTTAAGGGGCCACACAAAAAGCCTTTGATTTAAAGGTCTAATCCACAAGGCAGTGGGTCAACGTCAGGAGATGCAGTTTCATGGTAGCCGGTGATCGACAATTGGTTTATACGCCATTTGTTCCTTAAGGATCCTGGAGCCCTTGTGCACCACTGGTTTGAGATCAGGTTTTTCCAACTCCCCCGGGTGGACCCTCTGTACCCTCCAATTTCGTAAGCAACATCCCCGCTGCGAGTAAGCAGTGAATAGGACTTTCCTGGCAGTGGCTGTATATGCGTGGCCATGTAAGAGCATTTCGAGGAGAGCGGACTTTCCACACCCTCGACCATGCCAGGGAAATTGGAGTCAATGCTAACCAAAGTATACTGAATAAATCAGAGTCATCGATGATACGAGATCATTGATACTTCTGAGCGCTAAGCGAATATTTACCGACTCTTACTTTAAGGATCACGAACGGGAACTACTTATTATATTCTTCTCGGTCTACTAACTAGAGACAGAATCAAAAATCTGTCCAGATTTGTTAATAGAGCTCATTGTATACTACTTTCATCTACTTACTTTTTTATCCATATAACTACTGTTTTCATTAGATTCACCCTCCTTCGTCCATGTTTTGACAACTTCACTTACTGGTGTGACATATAGTATTTTGGTGCATATTTGTACAAACGCTTATATTTCAAATAAATAAATGATACAAATGAATTTATATGTCTACAGACTTTATTGCAGTGATTAGCTGTCAAAGAATTTCACATCGATTTCATACAGATGGCCATCGTCGTGAACAGATTATACTAAATTGACACGAAAACTGATATGATGAGCAATATCTTAATTATATAGGTGTCATTACCAAGGTTTGATTTGATAATTTCGAATAAATTGAGCATTAGGTTGATTGTTATAAATAAAAATAATATATTTGTAATATCCCAATGAGTAGAAAATTGGATTTTTCTGACGTTTCGTGGCTTAGTGTAAGTCACTTCTTCAGAGAATAAATAACCAAATTAAATTAATCCAAGTTTAAATAGTACAATGGAACAATGCATTGTTCCATTGTACTATTTAAACTTGGATTAATTTAATTTGGTTATTTATTCTCTGAAGAAGTGACTTACACTAAGCCACGAAACGTCAGAAAAATCCAATTTTCTACTCATTGGGATATTACAAATATATTATTTTTATTTAATATCTTAATTAACTAGAGGACGGGTGACATGTGAAATCGATTTTCCCCGACCATTTATAGAATATAATCACATTTTAAGAAAAAGAAATTATTCAACATTGGTTTCAACTAAGTATCTTTGTTCAGTAAGACATTAGTTTCATTTCATTTTTACATGTATTCAGTATATTATTCCTGAATCACTTTTATCATGAATTTCCATCAGTATAACAAGTCAAATAAATGGATATCACGCTGAATTATTTGCTTATTAATTAATACAATGAAAGTTGCCCCGCATTAATACGAAATCTAGCCAAACAAAAACCGCATTCCACCATTATTTAATCTTAAACTTTCCTTGCTAACAATCACTACGCTACATTGGGAATCGACTGAAGTTGAAAATGTAAACTACTTGATTTCCAGATACCATGAAGACTATGGGTTTTGAATTCGATCCTGTTTAAGAGAAATTAGTATTATCTACTGAGATATTCCAGGAGAAAATGAGTTGTTCAGCGTTCACTGTTTCAGTAGATACAAATGTGCCCCCAGATGCCCTGGTACGGTTGGGGGTGTGGAGAGTCCGCTCTCCTCGAAATGCTCTTACATGGCCACGCATATACAGCCACTGCCAGGAAAGTCCTATTCACTGCTTACTCGCAGCGGGGATGTTGCTTACGAAATTGGAGGGTACAGAGGGTCCACCCGGGGGAGTTGGAAAAACCTGATCTCAAACCAGTGGTGCACAAGGGCTCCAGGATCCTTAAGGAACAAATGGCGTATAAACCAATTGTCGATCACCGGCTACCATGAAACTGCATCTCCTGACGTTGACCCACTGCCTTGTGGATTAGACCTTTAAATCAAAGGCTTTTTGTGTGGCCCCTTAAGAAAACCACTTGCTTCGGTCTGGACACCCGGACAGTATTACGGCCCTCACTCAAATTAAATGAAATTTTGTGTGGCGCATATGTATTTGGTGCCTCTTTGTACCAATATTTATGTGTTCAAATAAATAAATAAATAGTGACGAAAGTTATTTTTATATTACTACTAGTGTTAACATTGTCATTATTATCGATCACAAAATAAAACAAAATAGTAAAACAACAAAATGAATGTATCTAACCTTTCATTTTTCCATCGTTTCAATTGTCTTCTTTCATCCTCAATAATCGATTTACCTTCGCTACCAGCGTGTATTTCGAAGGAGCATGAAATTAAGTTTTCAGCATCTACGATATGCTGAACAATTTGAACAAGTTCATTAAAAAATGAAACATAGCTATTAGAGACACCAAAATACTTCTGTGCATCAGACAAATGTTTTTCACATAATCGCCTGGACAACAGAAAAACAAAAATTTAACATGGTATGCATAGACAAGTTTACTTTTGTGCAATAAATGCATCGTTTTGTAGCTTGGCAAAATCGATCAGAAATTTGTATAATCTTTCATGAAGATTTATACCAATATCATGATATTTGATATAGTTAGTAGCTTGATCCTACAAAAATCAAATGAGGAAAAGACCGAATCATAATTTGTAAACAAAACTACTAAAGAATTAGTTCAGTTTAAAGAAAAGTAACCAAGCAAATATTATTCAAGTTAGATTGGGTTATGGAAACCCAAGTTTATTTTAAGGGGACTCATCTGTTGTCATAAACTGATGGAGGGACTATTAAAATCAGAGCATTCTGAAAAACTGTTTCTTCCTAGTTTTCGAGCTACGAAGAAATGAATATTTACGATCTTACACTGGATCAAATTCATGATACATAAGTCTAGCGGTGAACATGATACTTTGGTCCACTAAAAAGGTCCAGTACAGTTGCTTTGTCTAATATATAAGACAAAAACGACCTTAAGCACAACAGAAAAAAGTAATGTATGAGAGTAAAGTTATTTTTCTAATATCACTGTCAATTTCTTAGATCAAATTTGTTTTATGATTTCAAATAACTGTAGACTATTTTTAACAACACCTTTGCTACATTTTCTGTTCTATTAACTACTAATGTTCTCGATCATCGCGCACAATCCTAACCAATATGTATTTCAACTACTGCTGGGCTGGTGTTATTAGCCCACAAAGAATCTATACCAATCTTTACATTTTGTATCTCACAAACAAAATTGGTTGCCAGACTGACTTTTTACAGTACAACTGTTATCGACGACAAGTTAACATGAGATCGAGAAGACACCTTCGACTTATTATCCTGAAAAAATGTGATTTTTTGTTTCGGCACGACTATGTACGTAATACTTTTGATCTACAACTTGAAGCTATTCCCACATTTGCGGGTCAACAAGAAGAAAACGGCGAGACTATAATCTATGGACGAACCAATCAGATTTAGGATGACAGGTCTTGGATTTCGGCGCGAAAATCATTAATCTGTTTAGCTAAATAGCGTTTTGGCATTTTAGCTGATGTCAGTTTATGATGAAAACCATAAATCTAATTCCTAGCCCCAACCATCAATTGTAAATCATAATCCTTATTTTTCAAACTGCTTCATAATCCCCATTTGGCTCCAGTAAGTTGATGGGGATTCTCAATGTCACTTTAACGCCGCTCAAAGATCGTCCATAAATTATTATTCATTTATTTATTTTAACACATAGATATTGGTACAAGAAGGCACCAAATACGTATGCGCCACACAAATCTCATTCGATATGTGTGAGGGCTGTGATGCTGCCCGGGTGCCCACACCGAAGCAGGTGGTGCTCCTAGGGGGCCACTCCTCGAGCCTTCGACCTAAAGGTCTGACCCACAAGGCAGTGGAGCATCGTAAGGAGATGCAGTCCCATGGTAGCCGGTGACCAACAATTGGTTCATACGCCATTTGTTCCCGCAGGATACTGAAGCCCATGTGCACCATTGGTTTGGAGTCCTGTTAGAGCGCCGGACATTCGCTTTTCGTCCTCTCATTTTTGTAAATAACACCCCCGCCACGAGCAGGCAGTGAGTAGGACTTCCCTGGCAGAAGCTATATACGCGTGGTCATGTGAGAGTATTTCGAGACGGAGAGCGGACTCTTCCCACTCTCGGCCGTACCAAGGCATTTGGTCTCACCCAAACACATGCACGTCTTCTAAACATTCATGGCTTTAGAAAGAAAGGGTCGCCACATGGTTTATAATAGCATTCGGATGTTAAGAGCTTATTCTTGTTGGCAGTGTGGTACAATAAATTCTAGAATCCTACTTCGGAACCTCTAAACATCAGTACTAATATCATAGCAGTAAATTGGGATTGGTTTTGAAAGCAGGAGGCAATCAAGATAGGAAAGGTGAAAAACGTGTCTATGAGTACGAGAAATCTGTTTGTTACTGGCATATTAGTAAGTATTAGTCCTCGTATATCAGAATTAAAAACGTCCATATCTTGCAAAGTATTGTACGGCCAGTGAAATGTCACTAAACCCTAGTCAAATCATCCGGCAGTTGAATTACTGAATATCGAACCGATCATCGATCCTTGTCAAAGTCAAGGACAACCGACCTGCATCAGTTAATCGTATGCCATGGACTGAACCATGGGGCGGTGGTCTTACTTTCGCTTGTATCTACTATAGCTAATATGCCCCCAAATGCCCTGGTACGGCCGAGAGTGGGAAGAGTCCGCTCTCCGTCTCGAAATACTCTCACATGACCACGCGTATATAGCTTCTGCCAGGGAAGTCCTACTCACTGCCTGCTCGTGGCGGGGGTGTTATTTACAAAAATGAGAGGACGAAAAGCGAATGTCCGGCGCTCTAACAGGACTCCAAACCAATGGTGCACATGGGCTTCAGTATCCTGCGGGAACAAATGGCGTATGAACCAATTGTTGGTCACCGGCTACCATGGGACTGCATCTCCTTACGATGCTCCACTGCCTTGTGGGTCAGACCTTTAGGTCGAAGGCTCGAGGAGTGGCCCCCTAGGAGCACCACCTGCTTCGGTGTGGGCACCCGGGCAGCATCACAGCCCTCACACATATCGAATGAGATTTGTGTGGCGCATACGTATTTGGTGCCTTCTTGTACCAATATCTGTGTTGAAACAAATAATAAAATAGCTAATATATTTCTGTAATAACGTCCTTTGTGTTGTACAGTCTTCAAAGCATCTATAGTACCTCGATACATCTATGGGGCAATCCACGTAAGGTGCTGAGAGCGAGGTGTGGCTTCGACGTTAGCTGGTTCGTCACACAATCCCCATCTTACTTTAGTAGACCCCTAATCATTCGACATAGATCATCTACGCCGGTGATTTACAGTATTTTAAGTAAAAAAAAAACCAGCGTTGAACAACGATAGGACGGGAAAATCGAGGTCAATTATACCTAACTACTCTGATAGCGATGGAAGCAGTAGTTTTACTATACAGGAAACAAAACTATTTCTGGTAATCTGGATGCATAGAGCAAGGTGTAACTCTAAGGACCGATCTGTACCAAATTTACTGGTAACATAATTTATGGATGACCTTTGAGCGACGCTAGTAATCTTGAGAGAAATTGTCTACTCAGTAAGTTAGAAATTGTTCAATAAATACGCGCGTAGTTTTAGGGATGAGACTATAATTTATAGACAACCTTTGAGCAACATAGAAGTGACCTTGAGTGTCTACCTACTTACTAGGGCTAACTGAGGGTTGTGAAGCAGTTTGGAAAATAAGGATCAGGATTTACAACAGATAGTTGGGGCTAGGAATCAGACTACGGTTTTTCAACACGAACTGACAATAGCTAGAATGCCAAGACGCTATTTGGACGAATGAGTGAGTGGATCTCGTGCCAAGATTCAAGACCTGTCATCCTAAGTCTGATTTGTTCGTCCATAAATTACAGTCCCGCCGAATTATGGTTAGAATTTCAAGTTAGATGATATGGTTGAGGATTAAGGTACGAGTTTTCGCCACAAACCGACACTAGATATGATCACAGAGTGCTGTTTGCCCATACGAAAGAATGCGTGTTAATATTAGAGCAATATGAATCCTACTACAAGTCATTTCTTCTTTACTTTACAACAAGAATACAAACCAAGTGGGGCTCATGGTCGAACGAAAACCTAAAGGGGCTCTCCAGTACCGTTAAACTGGGTCGTGGGAACTTATTTAATTGTCTGAGATCTTTCCGTAAGTTCGTTTGCTAAAAATTCTCCGCATGTCTTCCTAGCTCCTATGACCTCCAAGACAATTTCAGCGTCACTGCCTTCAACATTCACTCACATGGATTGTCTTACAACGTCGTACTTAAAAATTATTAAATACCTAATCGAACGAATTAAAAAACACTCCAAAACAAAAACACTTACCCAAATACTAACCCATGAGGACATTTGGACCATTTTGCGAACATCAATGCATCCCTGGGTAACGCACAATGCAATTTGCCACCAAATGGTTCAAATGGTTCAAATGGTTGTGGACGTAATAGAAGAAGCTTTCGCTTGACAGGCTTCCGTGTCTAGTAGTAGGGGATCACCAAATCCTCCAGGCAGGAACCTAGGTATGTTAACAATGAAAGAGGAAAAGAAATTGGTAAATCATAGTGTCGTGCTGTCCTTGGTCCTTAAGAATAGGTCAAGTTGCCTCTTGAAGGACTCCTGAGAAGTCGCTTGGACTAGCTCGGCTGGCAGCGAATTCCAGCTTTTGAAAACTCTTAAGGAGTAGAAGTTGTGTCTACATTCCGTCTTGCTATGTTGTGTTTCCAGTTTCTGGGTGTTACCCCTTAGGTTATTATTCGAACTAAGCTTAAGTAGGTGTTTAAGAGGATGTCCAGAAGTGTTAAGAATACTCGAAGCCATTAGAAGGTCACCTCTAAGACGCCTATACTCTAATGGGTAAAGGTCTAGTGAATGGGGGCGTTCTTCGTAAGGTTTAGATTTGAGTCCTCGAACTGATTTCGTGGCTCGCCGTTGGATACGCTCCAAAGTGACCTTGTCCTTTTGGAGTGAGGGAGGGAGTACTATGTTTCCGTACTCTAAATGGGGACGGATGAAACTATTGAAGATTGTATGGAAAGTTCGTCCGTCAAACTGTCCAAAAATGCGCTTCAACGTTACCAGTGCAAGGTTTGCTCGGAAGGCATTTTTGTCACAGTTAGCGTAAGACTTTAAATCGTAGGGCACCAGGACTCCTAAATCTTTTTCGACTTGGGATACTACTATAGAGGAGTTTCCTAAGTTGTAACTGTAGTTTGCGACATGTCGCAGATGGACTACTTTACACTTTGAAGTGTTAAAGGTAAGTCCGTTATCGTCTGCCCAACTTTGAAGTCGAGTCAGATCCTCCTGAAGTGCCTGTAGATCGTCTTGGTTGCGTATCTCTCTCCAAAGTTTCACGTCGTCGGCAAAAAGTAATAAGTCTGACGTTACCTGTTGAGGAAGATCATTTATGTAGATCAAGAAGAGAAGAGGCCCTAGTACTGAGCCCTGGGGGACCCCACTAGGACATTCCATAGCCTGAGATAAAGTGAAATTAACCCTAACCTTAAAGTGTCGATTTTTTAGGTATGAAGTAAGCCAATCGATTAGAGGTGGTTTGATACCTAGTCGTTTGAGCTTATTGATAAGACATGTATGGTTAACCTTATCAAAAGCTTTTGAGAAATCAAGGTAAATGATACAACCTTCTCCTTGTGATCGAGGATGCTTGTCCATCTGTCCACCGCAGTCAGCAGGTTGGTAATACAAGAGTAACCCTTCCTGAAACCATGCTGTTAGGGTGAGAAGAAATTTAAGGACAGTAAATAGTCATTTATACCATCGCATATCAGGGACTCCATGATTTTTGAAGGTATGGAGAGAAGAGCCACCGGTCGTTAACTTGAAGGTTCACTGCGTTGACCTCCTTTGAAAATTGGTGTGATGTGAGCCAGCCTCCAATTTTCCGGTAGTTTTCCTCGGCTTAGCGAGTGTGAGAACATCACGCTTAGCGGCGTTGCCAAGATTGAGGCTGCTTCCCTCAGTATGGCAGGATGAACCATATCCGGGCCAGGAGAAGTATCTAGTCTTAAGTGCTGCAATTTCCGGAACACCAAGTCAGCGCTTAGGTTCACTTCTGAAAGTCCTGTGGGATTGCAAACGAAACTGTCATCAGTGAAGTTAATGTCGGTCGGTTGAAATGTCTGGGAGTATTGTTCAGCCAGAAGGTAAGCGGTGTCGCCATCGTTGTTGATCGCGCCGTTAAGACCTATTAGTTGGGAAACTCCAGTTTTGGCTCGACGAAGAGAGGCTGCATAAGGGAATAAGCTTTTAGGATTAGAGGCAAATTTGTCCATAAGCTTTGTCTGGTAATGAAGCCTATCTTCTCTAATAGCCTTCGTCCATATATTAAGGATATGTTTATATTGCCTGTACGCTTCGTCGTTGTCAGTTCGTTTGTATTCCGCCCAACAGTGCCATAACGCAAAGTGGAGTGTGATGAGTGATTCAAAATTTTTTTCATTGTGGTAATGGAATAAAATAAGCTAGCTTAAAATTCAGAAAAACCAGAGAAATTTTTTTAAGCTAGTCCTAGTGACTTCCCAGGAGTTCTTTAGTAGAAAATTTGACTTATTCTTAAGGACTAAGGATAATATCTTACTATGATTTGCCAATTTCTTTTCCTGGATTATTGTTAGTATACCTAGGTTCCTGCCTGAAAGTATTGGTGATCCACTGCTACTGAACACGAAAGCCCGTTAAGCAAAAGCTTCTTCTATTCCGTCCACAACCGTTTGAACCATTTGAAATGTGATAGATTAAAAATGCTAAAACCTGATATATTCTCTTCTAGTATGTCTAACAATCCGTATACCTTCAGCCTAAGGATATTAAGGTTTATAACTAGTTTGAATTCGGCAAAACGTATAGTGGTCCCCCTATTTTTGAATAGCGTCCAGCAGTTCTAGTTTTGACGTTATTTAACACATTAGTCAACACTTGATTTTACGACCTTTCCTGCGTATCTGGATTAAGATCTCAGTTAGGCATGCTTGTTGCTATTGTAACGGTAAATAACTCAATAAAATGAATTGTCCTGTAAGCCTTCTACAATGATGCTGACATCATTAGGTTCATTGGACACACCATAACTGGAAGTGTTTGATCACACATACACAGTACATAAGGAATAAATATTCCGTGCTAAAAATCCCTCCCAAGAATTAGTCAACTTAGATTGAACTCTCCAAATAAGCCTGTCACTAAAAAGATCTGTTTCTAGGTCAGGAGAACCAGATAACCCTGGTTAGTGTTGGTACCACAACAAATGCAGTAGGTCTGCTAGGTATTGCAGGAAATCCTGAAGTTTTCTCAACCTTAAACCTTCCAATGTATACAAACGACTATCTACAAGATATGGTCATCAACAGTCAGGTGGGAAATGGAAAACCGACGACTATATTTATTGAGAGTTGTGTTTATCTTAAGGTGGGTTTACGCATAACCATACCCATTTCAGTTGTGACAAATGTTTCAATCATTGGTATAGATCTGCTGTAATACAACAATCTACTAATCAACACAAGCAAATGGAGGTTATTATATGAAAATTTTAAATTGTCTATTCGCTGAATTTCATTTTACGATTGTGGGTTATGCCCAGTCATGTTTAGGAATATAATAGATACGTATTTGTAACAGGTTCACGACCAGCACTCGGAATACACAAAACAAGACCGAAACTTCCTTAGGTATGGAGTAATGTTATACACCATATCGCGACTACATACCACCTGTATTTTTAAAAACGTGACACCTAGCTCCAGAAAACCTAAGGTTGGTCAAAAATAAATTTTATCACATGATAAACTTCTAGGCTATTCGGTCCCCGTGTATCTCCCTTGCACACAATCCCCAGAAAGGATAGCAACGATTAGTGCACAGCTGATGATTATCGGCGAGAGAATAAAAAACCGCTCCCTATCATTGTATGCTGTCCGATATTGACGATCTAAAAGCTACCTTCAAAGGTACAACTGTTTTCCTAAACATTGGTCTGTTTAAAGCATATAAACAAGTTCTCATGGCTGCTGACGGCAGTCTAAAAATGACTATCACATATCCCTTTAAGCTTTAAAAACCTTCAAGAATAATCTTCGGTTTAAGAACTTCTACACAAACTTTTCAGGGATTCATCGATGAGGTCTTTAGAGGTCACAACTTTGTGGATGTGTATGTTGATGGCCGCTTGATCGCAATTCCGGACATAAAATCTCATCTCTAGCACACGGACTGCAGAAACACATCATTTCTGTAAACATTCAGAAATTTCAAATCAGAGCCGACTCTCAATATTTTCTCGAACACACTACTGATGTTCAATGCATCAGCCCTCTGCGAAGCAAAGCGGAGGGGATTCTGGATTACCCGGAACAGATGTCAACCAAGCAGTTACGTCCATCGACCTGATAAGTTTGCGTCCATCAAGCGAAAACATGTCACCTTTCTTGCTAGGACGTGTTCAGACTAGTATTCTACACGACAGTCTCTACAACTAGATTACATTTGAAGTCCACTTCAGATATACAACATATTTCTGGGGCAAGCGATCTAGTCGCAATCTTCTTGACTCGTATAACTTTCTAAAGAGTTTGAATGAAATCATGCTTCTTAAACTCACCCAGCTTCAAAAAGAGGAAACCGATCTTTAGGACGAGTTATTTTCGATTACCCTTGAATCACAGGTAGGGATTGTTCAATTATGCCCAAACATTATCTACGCAGCGTATCTGACACGTTGCACAAACTTACCCACCTGGGTGTTCGCGCAGTCATCAAGCTTATGCCAGAAAGTTTCTTCTGGTCTGGTGTGAATGGAGAGGAGAAAGTTTGGGTAAGCTGTGTAAGCTACCGGAATCTAAGGTGATTGAACACAACAAATGTCCGTGAACTAATTCAAAACTTCCTATGCTTGTTTAAACCATGTTCATCTGGAGTTGGTAGGACCTTTACTAGAATAAAATGGATACTCTTATCTCTTAACTTCCGTAAACCGTTTCACTCGATGGTCTGAAGTAGTACTCATCATGCACATTACTGCTGAAACAGTCCCCCGCACCTTCGTCGAACGGTGGGTAGCAAACTTCGGCGGCCCCTCAACTATCACTAAAGACCGTGAAAGCCAGTTCAAATCTAGAATATTCCTTTGTCTGACCACAACATTAGGAATCACACGACTTCGAAAAACCGCCTACCATCCACATGCAATCGGGTTGGTAGAGCGATTTCACTGACAGCTAAAAGCTTCCATTATTGAATTATGGTCTACTATGATATTAGTACTGCTCCAATAATAGACCTAATCCTAAAATTGCACATTTGTCATGATGTAACTGCCTGATCTACAAGATCTTACGTGGAAGTCACATCATTATCCACACTAACTCAACGTATCGTAACAATTACCAAT